AAATAAAAATAGCAATTTTCGTAAATTCTATTTTATGTGTAATTTAACAAAATTGTATGGTTGCTGGTATGACAATCAGAAGAAATAACAAAGAAAAAAATTAAATAATAATATTGTTCAATGATAAATCATAAAAAATTACTTTAGTTTTATAAAAAAACAATTTTTTGAGATTTTTGAAATTTTCAAACCAAAATAATCGGACAAAAATAATATTAATAATTTTATTAATGAAATGTATTAATTCATAACAGTTGTTTATATGCATTTAAAAATACAAATTATATTCAAAACTGAATGAAACGACCACGTGTTCATTTTATAAATTTAGTTAACTTATAAAATATTGTCAAACATATAATAAAATCAAAGTTCAAACTTTAAAATAAGACAATGATCAATAATTATACACGTTTTTACATGCTTGTGTTGTTTACTTCAATATGTTTTTCATCTTCACCAAGCTGTAGCTTTCAAAACACGATTTTAACAAATATCACAGTGTCAAACACGTGCTCAGCATTTAATAAAATAACCATTGGTAGTAATACATCTTTGGATGTTATTCAGCTCAAAATATTATCAAACGCAAATGTTCAAATGTATGAAATTGTAAATTGTGTGGGTAACGGTTCAATTGTACAATATAGTTATTCGAGAATGAACTTAAAAAAAGAAACCAATTTTTACAATACAGCCAAATTAGAAATGAATGAAAATTCTCAATTAACAATAAATAATAAAATTAATTTTTGGCATTATTCACAAATAACTTTTAAAGACAGAGCCATTCTAAATATTTTAAAGGAATTCTATATTAATGACTATGTTACTGTTGTTTTGCATCATGAAACAATTATTAATACTGCATATTTGTTTTATTTAACAGATCATTCCATTTTTACAATGAACGATGATTCGATAATACACACATTAAATTATTTATATATTTATGGCGCGACTTTATTAATGAACTCGTATACTAAAATAATCGGACTTGAATATTTAAATGTTTTCAACAAAGCACAAGTAACATTGAACGACCACTCTGAAATTAACAACAATTTGTTTATATTTAAATTTGAAAATTCATTTTTAACATTGAACAAATTTTCAAAAATTAACAACATAAATGATTTTAATGTTATAAAAGGAAGCATTTTAACAATGAATGGAATAAAAGATACCCCACAAATTACAACAAATACGTTACGATTTAAAAGTGGTGTTAAACTCAATATTGCTGGTAAGTCTTTAATCAGTGTCAATACCGAATTTGTGTTTGTCGATTCAATTATTATTGTAAATAACAGAGATATCAGAGATCTTCCTGTTGTTTTTTATTCTAGTTCAAAAGAATTGGATATTAAAAACTCAAAAATACAATCAGATTCTGATTTTGATGTTATATGTTCGTGGATGGCAATATCCATAACAAATATTTTCCCAGGAACGAAATTGTTATTGGGAGGTAAATTACTGAGATATGGTACCTCTAATAAAATCTTTTGTCATGTTGAGGACGTGATAAACAAAAATGTAAAGTACAGCGAATTTTATTGTCCATGTGATGACATGGAAGATTGGTATATTACTCCACTTCCAAATATGACATCGTTATATGTCAAAATTAACTCACCTAAAACAAGTTCAAAAACACGCTTTATTCGTAGCGACGAGTTTTCATCTGAAAGCGTTACAATTGGAAACACACAAATTTCATTTTACAAAAGTGACAGAGTTATTCTTGGTATTTCAATACCAGAAACAGTTGTTATGAATTCGTTTACATTGACAAAGACTGTACTTGTAGTTTCAAATACAAAATTAATTTTTGAAAACAAACATTTTAATGCGGCAATAAACATCAACCAAAAATTCAAAATACTTGTTATACATTGCACAAAAGAAATATACAACAAAACTTCTCAACAGTGTGAAGACCCGACTATCTGTGATGATGTGAATTGTAAATATTGTCCTCTCAATAAAAACAATTGTATTACATGCAAAAATCATTTTTCTTTTGACAATTCGAAGTGTGAACAAATTGCAAATTGTGAATTAACTTTTTCAAATAGGTGTTTAAAATGTCTAACTGGTTTTTTGTTAAGAGATGGATTGTGTGTAAGTGATGCGACGTGTTTACTTGTTCAATTTGATGGAAAATGCCAAATATGCAACAAAAACAATGGGTATATATACAACAATGGTGAGTGTGTAAAAAGTGATATAAATGGTGAGGTGACAACTAATAACAACGTTGTTTCTTGTTACAAAGGTTTTGGAACCAACTCTACAAATTGTTTGAAATGTAATGATTTATACAAAAAATCAGAATTGTGTGAAAACGGAAAAGTGACTAAGTGTGACAGTTCGAGTAAAATGGACACAAATGGAATGTGTAAAAAGAATACTTGTGAAACTCCAAACGACCAAAATGGTAGATGTACAACAGCAATTGATAATTGTATATTTCTATCAAATGGTAAATGCAATGAATGTGAAAACGGATACATCTTACATAATAATAAATGCAACAAAAACGGAGAATCGAATTGTATTACTCAAAAAAATTTTGGGTGTTTGATTTGTAATAATACTTTTTATCTTGATGAGTTAACAAAACAATGTGTAAGTTGTGATTCAAGTTGTTTGACTTGTGTTGAAACATCAACAAAATGTCTCAGCTGTCCACCTAACATGTATCTATCAAATTACAAATGTAACACAAACAATGAGTTAAAAATGAAATGTGACCGATATGCAAGTTTTGGGAGTGGCTGTGTTGTGTGTAAAGATGGGTATTATAGAGTTGGACTTGATTGTTTTAAATGTGATCAAAAATGTAAGACATGCAATAACAAATATAGTTGTCTCACTTGCAACTCAACAAATTACAAAACAAATGGCGGTGACTGTCTGCCACAAAGTGATATCGTTGGATGTGCTGTGAATGTCACACAAAGCGGGTGTTTAAAGTGTCAAGATGGGTATCATATAGCCAACACAAACGAGTGTCAAAAATGTAATGACAACTGCAACACGTGCACAACAACAAGAAACAAATGCACTTCTTGTGTAAATTCACGTGTGTTGCTTGCAAATAAAAGTTGTGTTGGTCTATCACAGGTATCGAAATGCAAAGAAATTACACATTCAAAGTGTTCAAAATGTTCATTCTGGTACTCTCCAATCGAAGATGGCACGTTGTGTGAGTCACGGGCTGTTTGGTGGGTCATTCTTGTTGTGGTTTTGTTTGTTCTTATTGTGTTTGTCATACTGATTATATCAATTATTGTTGTTACAAAGATCATTCTTAACAAACTCCACACACATGAAATTGAAAAGACGATAACACTTTTTAATATGAACAAATCGAACATCAATTTTGTCCCTCTTCGAGGTGGTGTCAGTGTTTCTTCAACTGTGATAGACTTAAATTCGGACATCGAGCAGATTGAAGTTAACAAAGAGACTCGGCAAGTGTTGTGTGTAGGTAACACAAACAAAAACGCCACCAAAATCCAATTTACGATTTCATCAAACATCACAAAGTTTACAATTCGTGTTGATCCAGAAGTTGTCACACTTAAAAGTAACTTTGCATGCGAGTTTTCTGTATTTGTCAAGCCATTGTGTTCTTGTAAAATCAACAACACAATTCAATTGGTTTC